ATTTGGTCATTAGAGGCTACATTCCATATGTGTGACGTAGCCCTCTAGAAGGTGTGAGCTATCATTGTCGTAGTGCACAGAGAGTCACTTTGGTGACAATTCCTGACCTCCGCCTCCTGAACTACGAATCTCGAGCTAGAGGGTCTGAGATATGAGGTTCGACCTGGGACGTCTAATCTGTGACATATGAGTTGAGGTGTTTGAACCAAGGTGATCACCTAGGATTGAGAGGTCAACTTGTTCACCCGACCTTAGTTATCTCGATTGGAATCCAGATTCTAACAATATATTATGGGCCCTTATTCATGGTAAGCCTTGCTTGACGTGACTAGTTATGGATGAGCTCAGCTTGTTTTTTTTACTTGGAAGGTGCATGATGGGATGTGTCTTAGGTTTTTCGGCATTACATGCATGTGTGGAATCATTTTTTCCTTGATTATTGCTCATATTTGGCATTGATTATTACTTTACCTAGAAAATTTTCTGCTTCTGCCTCTTGCAATTTTATCTTCTTCTTTTTTTCTCTTACTGCTCAAGATGCCTCAGAGAGTTACCAAGTCACTTATAGGTCTTTTGAAGCCATATCTACTCTTTCTTGGAGTCTTTCTTGGGTTTCTAATCGTTGATCATCCTCGATTTCTAGGTATGCCATCTGTCTTGCTCCTTTCTTTGCTTCTCTCTCTTGGGGTTTCTTGTTCAACCCTAGATCCACTAAATTCTAGGTGGTCATTCCATTTTTGGATATCCCACTTCCGTTATTTTAGGAGCCTAGATCATTCTTGTCATTTTTCCCTTTTCTTGGATCCCTACACAACTACTAGGGTTTTCTTATTTAGGCGCTGGTGTCTGGATCCTTGAGCAATTGAGGATTGATCTCTTAACATTCCTTTTCACTACTATAGCTTTAGGTATTTCATTCGTCGTGTATGTTTCTTCTGAGGCTACCGGGTCTTCTATTTCCCTTGCTATGGTTGACAGATCTCCTTAGGACCAATCTCATCGTCGTAGACAACTTGGTTCTTATGATGAGGATGATCAGCTGAGCTCCTCTGAGGTGAGTAAAAGGGTTGTTTTGTCTGACCCTGTTGAGGTCGATGACCTTGGAGACGTAGGCAATGAAATAAATAACTTTTCTAGGGTTGACGCAGTCGAAACCCAAGGTGTTAGTGCTATGGCTCCCTNCCACCATCACCACTACAATTGTCGCCACCCCCCACCACTATCTCTGCCACAACAACCATCGCCACCACCATTGTCACCACCCCACCACTGCCCCACCATCACCACCACCACTGCTGCCGCCACCTTACCACCATCACTACACCTACTGTCCCACCGTTGCCACTGCAACCACCATTGTTGTCAACCCACCATCCCCATTACCCCACCACCACCACTGTCCCACCATCACCATTTGTCACACACAACTGCCACCATCACTAAAGTCGTCGTCACCCATCACTGTCTCCCACCACCACCACTGTCACTACCACCGGTTGTCGTCACTACAATCGTTGCTTAAATTTATTTTTCTCTTTTCTATGTTTGCGATTTGATTTTAAATGTGAATACAAATATGTTTATTGTTAATTTTTTTTTATTACTTCGTATCTTCAAACACTATAAATAACTAATTATATTATATTGTATCAATTGGTAAAGATTATAGAAGATCAGTGGTGTATCACTTNGAAATAACTAATTATATTATATTGTATCAATTGGTAGAGATTATAGAAGATCAGTGGTGTATCACTTATGACACCCTTATTTTCTTATATATACTTGCAATGTTTCCAACTTATCGAGTTTTCGTTGGTTAAGTGTTTGTTTGAAGGTGATTATGTAAGATTTTTGGATAAATTAATATTTTAGATAAAGTATTTAAAAGTTGTACATAAATTTTTAGGGTTTTAGTCAAATCTTCCAATAAACGAGAGTAATTTATCAAAATACCGTTCCTTTAAAATAAATTTACTAAAATACAATACTTTTTAAAAACGGAATCAGTAATTTCGTTTTTATTAAAAAATGGGTCAACAACCCCGCTTTTAAAAAAATATATTTGATAGTTGCACATTAGAAGCGTATTTAATAACCACGCTTTTAAAAAAGCGTAGTTAGTAAACACGCTCTTAATATGTTACAATAGTACTGTTTACATTTAATAATATTTGATAAGTCCAGATCTAATTGGGTCAGACCCAATTAATAAGTTAAGCCCCAGACAGTTATAAAGCAGGTAAAGTCCAACTCATGAATTCGTTCCAGTTCAAAGTTTAAGGAATCTAGGAAGATTAGCGCACATGTGGAGTAATTATTGGGATATTCACTCTAAAAAAACTATCTTTAATTGTACATATCTTAGTTGTAACTACCTAGTAACCTACCCATCACGCGTACTGCCTCAACCAAAACTCTGTGTTTATAAATTGTAAGTCATTTCCACACGAGAGGCTTTACAAGACTATTTACACGACTATCTTTCTCATAGTTAATCAACCTCTTCTAAAGCTCATCTTTGTTCTCTCTCCCCCTTTCTACTTTATTTATAAAATTCTCTGGCCACAGTTACTATCTGGTTTGGTCACCTCAGCTCAACTCCCCATTATTTTGCCTTTTATTATTGATTGTTTCATTAATTACTATGAATCATACACTCGGTTATGCATAAATTCATTTTTATGCACCATCAACATTGTGTTTGCAACGACAAACCCAGCACTCTTGTTTGATGCTCTTTACTGGAGGAAAAATAATGGGAGGAGGAAGAGGGCGAAGAAGCTTTAAAGAGAGAAAGCACCATGAACAAGAACAATAATTGAAAGAACCTTTCTTTCTCTCCTATGCTCTTGTTGGAACAAGATCTGTTTTGGGAAGATGAACAGGTTCTCTCTCTTCTCCAAAGAATAGCAAAATCCATCTCTTTCAGCAAAACCCATTTCTCAGCCGATCTTCAAGAAGAGAAGAGTTCAAGAACAAAATCATACTAGCACCTATGGTTCCATGACTCTAAAAACTGAATTAAACTTCGAAATTGAATCCAGAAACCCATCATCTAGAAGAATCATCTCAAACAAGTAGTGATGAATTAATCACTTCGAAATTCAGAAACCCACAAACCAAATGTTTGTTTTTGAATCTTTGACCGAAGAGAATAATGTTCCAAGTGCATATAAAACAGGGTCAACCATTCAGCATAAGTCAACTACTCAGAAACCCACAAAATATTGCAAAAAGGAATTCAATCATGCAACGGAAGAGAGAGACGCCTTTCAGAAATGATGGTCCTGTTCATGATATTTTTGTGTGAAAGCGTGTTTATGAAAAATGTTTTTCAGAAAAAACTTAACAAGCGTGTTTATTAAACACGCTTCGGTTCTATTCTCTTAAATAAAAAAAGGGAATTGTTGACTTGTTTTTTAACAAAAGCAGAATTATTGAATTTGTTTTTTCAATGAAAGCGGAGTTATTAAATTTGCTTTTAAAAAGTTTTGTAGTTTGATAAATATGTTCAAAAGTGCCGTATTTCGATATATATGTTTTTAAAAAATTACATTTTGNCCTCCTCCTTTGAGTGCAAGGGCTTATATGCGAGGGGGGAAGACGACTCTCTTTCGATGTGGGATACGGTGCGCCCTCCCCACATTAGGCTAGGCCAGGGCTCTGGCTCAGGAAGAGGGGTAAAGGCTACTCCCGAACGCGCGGAGGTCAAGCCGAAATTCTGAGTGGAGGGTTTCATCCCTTACAAACACGGTGATCAATCAACCATTCAACATAAGTCAAAAACTCAGAAACCCACAAAAAGAAAAAGGTATTGCAAAAATACACCATGGAATTCAATCATGCAACGGAAGAGAAAGACGCTTTTCAGAAAAGGTGGTTCTGTTCATGATATTTTTGTGTTAAACAGTGTTTAGTGAACATGGTCTTCAGAAAAACCTTAAACAAGCGTGTTTAGAAACCACGCTTTTGACCTATTCTTTTACAAAGGACTTTTGTCTCCGTTTTTTTTTAACCGAAACGGGATTATTGAATCTATTTTTTAACAAAAGCGGAATCATTGAATTTACTTTTAAAAAATGCCATAATTTAAAAAATAAGATAAAAAATACCTTATTTTAATATATATATTTTAAAAAAGCAGTGTTTTAATCAATAATTCCAGTAAACGAAATATCGTATCAAGTTGATTTGCTAACGGGACTTGGCGATAATTATGTTATTTATTATTTATTGGTTGATAATGTCAGCAGACAATGATTATGTTATATTTTATTTTTGATTAAAATAAAGGGTGAATTAAACTTGTCTTAAAAATTTAAAAATTCTCATTTTATATATTTAAAAATTAAAATTTTGATATTATACTCTACGTATATTAAAATTATTATAATGTGGTCTTTTTTTTTATTTTTGTTACTTATTTCGTAGACTTTAATGAGTTGAAATTTGATAAAATAAGTAATAAAAGATAACAGAATGACTACGTTATAACACTTTTAATATATCTTAGAAATAATGTCAGTAGTTTTATAGTTAAGGGTGAAAAATGAAAAAACTTAAATCTTTTGGGGTGTAATGTGAGATTTCCCCTAAAATAAATGCTTGTTTTGTGTTTTGATGGCCACTGACATGTCAAAGGAGGGTGTAATGGTCTTTCACTAGGATGGTGCGTAGTTTAATTTCATCCACACCATAGGCTCAACGAAGCTTCAATCCCCTTGTAACCCAAATCAAATCAAAAGCCAATCGTAACCTCTCTCTCTCTCTTGCTTGGGCGGTACCAGAAGAGCCGCTCCCCTTCTGTTTTCTCTCTCCTAAAAAAATTCAAATTCTGCCTCTCTCTCCTCCACCTCACAATTCACAATCCCCCTCAGTGCCCTCACAAGTTACAGTCCTCTAGGGTTTCACCCCCTCACCGACTTCTGCAAGCCCAATCGGCCAATCCCTCTCTGTATTTATACTTTCTGTCTAAGCATTGATCTCGATCTCAATCAATGGCGGAAGAACCAGTACCACAGGCTTCGACTTCGAATGCTGCACCGTTGGGTCACTCGGTGATTCCGATAGTGAACAAGCTCCAGGACACCTTTGCACAGCTCGGAAGCCAGTCAACGATAGAGCTCCCTCAGGTGGCCGTCGTCGGAAGCCAAAGCAGCGGTAAATCGAGCGTTTTGGAGGCTTTAGTTGGCCGGGACTTCTTGCCGAGGGGTTCCGATATTTGTACAAGAAGGCCCTTGGTTTTGCAGCTCCTCCAGACAAAGAGGAAAGCGGGTGGAACCGAGGAGGAGTATGGAGAGTTCCTGCATCTTCCGGGGAAGAGGTTTTTCGAATTTAATGATATTCGAAGGGAAATTCAGGTAATTTTTTATATGTACATGGTTTTTGTGCTATAATGTATTGATTCTTTATGGATTCGAGATTTTTTTTTGGGTTGAACCTCGCTGGATTCGGGATAAATTCTGATTCTTAGTCAAGATTTTTTAATTGAATTCGAGAGTACAGTAGTATTTAAGCAATGGGGCTAATAGGACTGTGTGGTGTGGTAAAATTGAGTTCCTAACAGTTTGGAAACAGGAATGTCATATAACCTCGTTTTCAAATTGGCAACCAAGTGATGAGATGGTATTTTTGGTTAACTCTGTTGGATCCTTGGAATTTAATCTTACCGTTAATTGAGTAATGAAACCTGTGCTATCGTGAGTATCCATAGAAAAGCAGAATGGGGAGAATATCACCCCGTAACGTTTCCTTACAAAAATGGGATGTCAGAAAATTGTATTGATGAAGAATTTTCATTTGGGGAACAAGGATATTAAATCCTGTTTATTGCTGGAAGTAGTGTGTAGAAGATTGGAACAAAGCTCTATTTTTTTTGATCAATTTTCAGTAGGTGCAAAGTATTTATTAGTAGTGTACTCACATTGTCAGCCGAGCTCAAGAATCATAGAGTTCTTCAAATCTCCAGTTGTTTTGATCATTTCTGAACTAGGGTTAGTTTAATTTTACGAAAATAGTGCATTATTTGGTAAAAATCAGGCTGATTTTAACTGTTAATAACAGCAACTGTCCCTACCACCATTGCCTTTGCTACCATATCTTAGAGAATTTTTTATATTATTGTAATTGATAGTGTGAATGGGTAAATCACGCCACCTTTCATGTCCATTGGAAGCTTGCACGATTTTGCCCATAATAAGCAATTGCGACTTTCTATTTAGATGCTGGTAGTAATATCATTGATAAAATGCAAATAGTGCATTATTTGGTAAAAGTCAGGCTACCTTTAACTGTTTACATGATAACAAGAAGTCAGCAAGTGTCCCGTGGATCATGGCAAAGTCTGCAGGCCCTGCATTGGCTTTGCTACTATATCCAAGAGGACTTTTGATATGGTTACTGCCAATTTCATCTGCCTTTGTTGTCTATTTTAGCATTTTACTACATACTTAACTCTGCCATGAGTGCCACTGCCTTAAAAACCAACACCTTCACTGTCACCAATGCCAATGGCCTTCACAACCAACACTGTCACCATTACCATTCTTATTATATAGACTTCATTTTATTGATACACACATTCGATAAAGGGTGTGGTCGTGGTGCAGCGATTGTAAATTTTATTCCCAAGTTAGTTTGATCATATACACTTCATTTAACATTAGTTGGGGCTTATAGGTTTTAATGTTTTAAATATTTATTTAGCATGTTATTCTTAAGTCTTTATTTTCCAACCATAGGATTGATATTTCCCATCATGCTATAATTTTGATCCTTTGAAGATAGGAATATGCTATATATGATTTTCTGAGGGAACACTGTCTGTAGTAATATAAATTATGATGCAGATTTGTAGCTAGTTCTTTCCTGTATTCTTCATGTGTACTTGGGCTGTATCCTTCTTCTGATAGGAACCTTTTACGAAATATTATCAATCAGCAAGAAAAATGATGTTTCTACTCAATATACAAACTTCTCGGAAAAGTCATGTCTGAGGGTTTTAGACTACTCTCCTGAAGAATGAATACTGTTATGTGTTACTAGATCTTGTTAAATTCTAGACATGCATCGTAATAAAATTAATCTATTTATTCAGTTAAGGTACATATAATTTTCTTAGGCAACTTTTTTTTTTTTGGCAGAGTTAAATTATGTAGCACTGCAAATGTACTGTTTAACACCAAAATCTATATCTCATTGCCCAACTTGAATTTTTAATATCTTTTTGTACTTTCACATGAAAGAACATCTCATCGATATGTTTACGAATGATATTGTATACATTTTGTGTCTATTGGAAGCTTGCATGATTCTGCCGAAATAAGCAATT